CTGTGCCCACAAAGATCTTGCTATGTATGTCTATATATCATGCATTCATCAAGTTATTCTCTAGATGCCCTATCACATCAGGCAAATTGAAAAGCCTTTTGCTGTCAAGTTTTCCATTCAAGTAAAAATCTATCAACTTCAAGAAGGGGCAAATACATCAACACACGTATTGACCCAAGTTGTTATTGATACCTTAATGTAAAAATCTACTGGTACATTTAACATCAATCTCGGGATACGATCAAGCTACGTATAAGTATGTATGACATTGTCTACTGTGAAGGTTTTATTCCAGTCCCATGATTAGTCATTAGTGCCGGGTTTACATTGTAACTAGGGGAATCTTGAGAACAGAACTGACCTGTTGGGAACTTGTCATGTGTCTCCTGCAGCAGCTGCAGCCCTATCAGGTAATCCTCAGTCTGCAGCAGCGTGCTGACTGCCTGTCCCAGCTGCAGGGCAGGCGGCTGGTCATTGTACGGCTGGATCAGGGACCGGGCCAGCTCCAGGGACGGGCATGTCTGCAGCACGTGCGACCAGTCAGCTGTGAAAATTAGATCATGGTTGTATTATCTGAATTAGTAGACTGAGAGACAATGGCGTACATGTACCATATAAAAAATTATGACAATTCACCACCATGGGCCTTCGTTGCTGAAAGGAAGTAAGAGGAAGGAGGAAAGATGAAAGTTTTAAGACGACCATCTGCTGGAAGGTGATCTTTATATATGTATTTTACACCATAAAGGATGTAATTTCAACAGAAACATTACTGTCTATCTGAGTGCCATTTCATACAAATGCTCTGGTGTTGATTCAAGTGTGCAAGCTAATGATAAACATTGTCATACAAGTCAGTGTAACTCACATGACTGTATTTAAGCAAAGGAGGAAAATTTATCAGATACAATTATACATATGAGTAATGTCCCACACACCTGTATGGAAAGCGCCAGTGCCGTATGCATACTCCACCATGTTGTACACCTTGCCCTGGCGACACATGCAGACAGCTGCCTCCCTGTGTGCCTGTATGGCTGTAAACACGGCCTGTGCCAGGGCCAGGCACACCGGGCCACTCAGGGGGTTCTGGTCAGCATACTCGCACAAGGCATTGGCTATCTCCTCAGTAAGCTGCAAGCTGGAGGCAAAAAGATGTTACATTAACAAAGTACAACAGTTTCCGATAAGAGCTAAAACTTGCTTGATTCCTGTAATAATTCAAGAATCCTGTTGTTACCAAAGACAATACCTTTGACAAGAAAACCTGTTTCAGTCAGCAGCTTCAGCTTATTGTCACAATGACATGGTAACAGTTGTATAGTAGTGGAAGTCAGGCTTAACCTATATAGGAATCTGGACTTCCACAACTATGCAACTGTTACCGTGTCATAGTTATGGCTATGAACATACCTGTTCTGTGCTATCCAGTGAGTGACAAGGTCCAGTCTGTGCTGGGACAGTGCACATCTGACACACTCCAGACACACCTCCGGGCTGGGCAGGTGAGACAAGGCTGACACGGAGGACATCAGAGCCTCACAGTACGCCAGCAAGGCTTCAGAACCTACATCTGGAAGGAAGGAACATTATACACAGTTAAGATGAGTTTAGAATAAAGTCATTTTGTTCAATGTCATATGCCTTAGCATGTTAACCACCAGAAACAGTCCACAGTTGGACAGCTTTTATGTTACACTTGCAAGTTCAACTCTTTCAATGAGACTATTTATTGTTAAGTCTGAAGCACTGTTGAAATCATAAAAGACATCATATGGTTACACTGATCACAAGGCTGACAAATGTGAACACAAACATGGCACTCATGTACCTTTAAACTTGGCCATTGTTTCGGGTGTTCTGAGAATGCCCTTGGGACTGTTTGCAGCATGGATGGCAGCGTCCTGGTAACACTCGTCGTCAAACAGCTCATGGAACTTGTCAATGTACTCCAGCAGCATCTCTGCCTCCTTCTCCTTGTTGGGGTCATCATCCTCAAAAGAGAAGGGCGTGTCACGCTGGCCTGACACACCTGGAGGAACATGTAAATGCTGCTTATTGAAAAGTGGCATCAATTGCCTAGTGGTTAGGTTAACAGACATGGGATCAGGAATTAATTGATTCAGTCTCTGGCATATTCCTAGCTAGACCTAAAGAAAGGCTGTTTGCTGAACTACTAAGTCATTACATTTGCAAAAGTTACTCCTATGGTCAATTGATATGTCACCTCTGAATGCAAATCCCATGGACTGTGTGGTGAGGGCCATTGTGATGACTTCACTCAGGCTGTGGTTCTCGGGAGGATCCTCCTTGTAGATACCAGCGACCTCCACGGCCACCTTCAGCTTCTGACATCTGTACGGGGCAATTCATACCAGTTGAAAAATGTCAAGAGCTGGCAAAATGTATATACAATGTATACTGGGAGCCTGATACTGGCCATCATTTTTAAGCAGCGCTTTCCTCAGGACTCACATTGCCACTCCTTGCTGATTTGTGATGTAGTGGCAAGGATGTGGTCCCATAAACCTCCCCCTCCCCTCTGCTCTAGACTGTTGGCTCCTGATAACTAAGTAATTGACAGACACCTGTTTCCTACGTTTTCTGTTTCCCACCTGTTCTTCAGCCTGGCAGTCCTGTCTGCCAGATGATGTCTCATGTTGACCTGCTTGGTGAGGGTGTCCTTGAGCTCCTGTTTCCTGACCTTGGGTGCGTACTTGGTGTTCCTGCTGATGTGGAGCTCCCTCAGCTGATGCTCCAGCTTGTTGTGGTACCTGGTCAGGGTCTTCACGTCAGTGCTCTCCTCTAACGTTAGACCTGGAGCCACAGGGAACGTGTCAACATCAGTTACAAAAACACATTTACAGGGGCTAGAAAACAGAAATTACAGTTGAAATATAGCTCCAGTGCTGTCAAATATTGCCATTACCATGCATTTGATAATGATTCTTTTTGCGACACTTCTGAGATGTTCTAGATGTTTCAGATTGATCGCAGTACAGGTACAGTGGCCAGGATCATTTCAGGCATTTTCTCCTACATAAACAGATAATACAAAATATACACAATATATACAAAGTAGCTGGATGTGAATGGACTGATCAATCAGATTTGGCCCATTCTCCAAGGGTCTCACCAGGTAAGGGTCTGAAGTCTGTGCGCCTGGGCTTCTGGGTACTTTTATCATCTTCATCTTTCTTCAGCATGGCTTCTCTTGCTGCTCTTACACGTTCCAACTCTGCTGCCAGACGAGCATTGTCTCTTTGGATCACCGACATCCTGTCAAGGATTCAAAAGAACAAGTTAACCAAACCTACGTTTGCTGTTATTTTCATATGTTTTAGCACCCTTTAAGGAACCAGACTTTCATAAAGTTATGATCCTTAGACTTCTTAAACTTAAGACTTACTGTCAAGTGTTTTGTAATTGTATTGTCCATGATTTTCTATTTCTGCCCTCATTTATGAGATTCTGCCCTCACAGTTAAACATGATCACAATGCATGCAATTGTTGCTGACTTCAGGACATTTATAAGTTAAAAAACTAAGTACTTTTGCTGCAGCTCCTCTGCTCTCCTCCTGTAGTTGACGACTGTGGTGGGTTCCGCAGCCGTGGCCTTCAGCCTCCCCTCCAGGTAGAAGGCTTCCCGCTGCCCCTCCTGTAGGTCCTCAATCACCGCCTCGTACTCTGCTTTTATGGCTGTCAGCAGGTTAGTGTAGGCTGACGCATGCTGGATCAGCTGTGTGGACATAATGTGACCAGATGTTAACATGAGTTTACATTTTGTACAAAAAGGAAATTTATAATCATTAAAAAATAGATATCATAAATATGGTTGTATTGTACTCCAGTAGTCCAAACACCATTGCTACATGTCTTTTTGACTTCAATAAGTTAGTTTTGCATTAAAAACTTAAGCTCAATTGCAGTCACAACTTAACTTTACCCACGCACTGCACAGCGTGTTTGCACTATTATGACAATACTGTTTAGTGACCTGAGTTGATTGACATGCTTAAGACTGAAGCACTCAGGTACTGTTGCACAGTGTGTAAGGATAAGTATCTCTCGTATAATTGCAATGAAATTGCCAATATAATGTTCTTTACCTGATCAAACGCATCCTTGAACACTGTGTACGAGAGCTCGTTAGGGCCCCTTGACGAAGCGCGAAGTCTGGCTAGCTCGACCTGGATGGAGTTTTCCAGTTCGTCCAGTGCAGCTCTGTCTGAGTCGGTGGCAATGGGAGGCAGAACCCTCCTGGGTGTGCCAGGAACAGAACCGGACATGGCTCCAGGGGGGATGCACCGTATCTTTTACTTACTGTGAAATGAAATTGAAAGGTTACATATTCAACTTCAAAAGATAATCTAGAATTCCAGCTATTAATTCACCATGTCAAGAACTTTGAATATCTTTGTAAACATCAAAACGTTGAAGATTACAAAATTCAGGTCGAATGCCGGTGGCTCTTGCCCGTCACTCTATGCTATGCATAACTAGCCATAATATTGCACCCAAACTGTTATTTTTCCCCATTCTTCAAGTAGTGGGAGGGGGGCGACCATGAAATCTGACACTTTACTGTGCACAAGCTAAGAGACATCTAAATCCAAACGTTCAGAAACAGCAGTAGGCCACCATATTGAATGAATTTTATTCTTAATAATGTGATGTGTATATTCCATGCAGTTGGTGTGAGAATAAAGAAATGCAAACCTCAGAAATCGCTCAAAAAACCAGCAGCCTTCGTCCTGTTTTCGTTGTTTACACGCACCATGGTGAACACCGCATGTTCTGATGACGTCACGCAAAAAACTCGCTTTGTGATGACGTTTCACACATTCCACTGTCCCAAACAGACCGGCGAAGTTGGAGAGAAGAAGAGGACCGAAGTTTGGACCGGTTTGAGAGGCTCATCAGGGCAAAACTGTGCTTTTAACATGTCTAAAGGGTAGGATACATCCCAAGCTATTGTCCGTTTGATTGACATCGTTTTGAGCTGTACAGAAAAAGAGACTGAATACTGCATGTGTAACTAACGTATCTGTGAAGGGGGAGGGGGGGGGGCTGAAGTCTTTTGGCCAGGTATGAGGTGAAGATTGTGAAAATAGGGATATATGTGTCAGGAGCAACAACACCAACAGCAGCTAATTGTGTATCTGGTACTTGTGTTTACTTTTGTCTGTGTGTTGATATTCTACAGGGATTCCATCTGGGATCTTGCTATAGAAGTGGTTCAGCAGCAGGAGAAGGATGGGAAAGGTGAGGAGTTTACAGTCACAAAAATCCACAGATGTTATAGATACTACATGTTCCCAGGCAAAGCTAGGAAGGCTCACGTTAGTAACATATTAAGATAAACTCAGTTTAAAATGCTATACTAAAATGATATACTGTAAGAAACAGGAGGAGCCAGTAAAAATCCCACTGGTCCCGGGCCTGGGTTCGAACCCACGACCTCCTGGGCACCAGAGCCTATAAACCCCCCACTGTTACAATACAGATGTATGTTAATAACATGTTATTGTGAACTTGTGATTTTTCATTTCCTAACCTCTCCCCACATCCACAGATGGTCAGCAGGAGAACCGACCGGCAGAGGAAAGCTCAGTTTTGTTGATGGGCAGCAAAACCTCGGTAAGTCTTTCTCAATTTGTCATTGATACTGTTATCAAAAAGAAATTTTCCGTATTTCAGATAGGTAAACTATCTTGGTGTCAATATTATGTAACATTACCTGAAAATCACATACGACATGTAGTTAACATGAATACTCGACAACTGGTGTACAATATTTTTTTTTTACTTTGCAGGGTAAAACTTCAATTATCCTGAGATTTTTGGACAGGTGAGATAATAGTCTTGCAGGTGGATTTTAGATGTCAAGTAGAATATTATCTGCTACATCTATACACACAATCATAATGGTATGCTGCAGTTTTTGTACCGTGCTGTTTAACATCGTGACATGCTTGCAGACTAATTCTGTATGTTGCTTGTTTTGCATGACTATGTTGGACTCAGGAACAAAAATTCAAGTGTTGTGTCGTTCATGTTTTAATGCCAATCCCACTGCTAACATCTATGTTTCCTTTGTTTTAATGTGGGATGTCCTGTCAGGGAAGGTCCTGTGTAAGTGTGGCATGTTAATGTTAATGTGAAGTCTGTGGAGCCTTTTTGTTTCTGTCATAAACTCACCTTGAGTCTCTGCATGGTTCTGCCCTGTCCTCCAAATTCCAATCCTTTTGTGCTGGTTGATAACTTGTTAAGTTGTATGGAGTTTTTCTTGCATGGCAAGCCACTACTAGTAGCATAATGCACTGGCCATTGCATTCTGCAACAATTAACTGCTTGTGCTGTAGTATTTGTAACTGAGTTCTGTATGTTCTGCAAACTGAGTACACATGCATGCAAATTCTTATATACCAAAATGTCAAATTGCACATGCATGCGCTTTTGAGAATTTCTTGGCAATGCATGCAATTAAGGAATACATTATGGGCTGTTTTCACATTTTAAAGTAAAACAGTTGCTATTGATATGAATATAGCTTATGTACACTAGTGAGGACTAAACAGACCATGTCATATCAACATATCCATTTCATATCTCTCATGCTTACAGAATTGTGACAGCAAGTTAGCAACATCCATGTATTATGCATGCCTTGTCCTTACTTTCATGGGTGAAAGTCTCTTAAGTTCCAGGCTTTTTATATTTATGCAGACCTTGCATGTAAGTAGTCTGTAGGCTTTGTGTACCTTATGGTATAGCAGTCGTAGTAAAACAATGCATTTTGCTCTTTGACATCCTACATCCTTGACTGTATCCTTGTCTTCATCTTTTCTCCGACTCATTTAGAGATGAGGCTGCAAAGCCAACAACTGCTCTAGAGTTCACCTTTGGGAGGAGAGCCAGAAACAACCTGGTGAGTTACAGTTTTAAGTCTGTTTGAAGGTTAAAATTCTCTTAGTCAACAGTTTTCTTTCACCAATGTGTTGGTGAAAGCACCCCACTGTTTTAACATGTCATTTCTCATTGAATTAGGTACCACACACTGTACCATTTTGATTGTGCAACTATCAGTTATGTCTGCTTCAAACTTCAGGCCAAAGATGTGGTGAATATCTGGGAGCTTGGAGGTGGGACCTTTCTGTCCAGACTGGTAGACACTGCCATCAATGTTAACAGTGTCAGGTAGGTCATCATACCTCAGCAATGTCTGTCAGTTACAACTATGTATTTTCTGTTACTGGAAGTGTTGTAAACCCATGAGTAAACTTTGATTTGATTTTTTCTTATTCACATCCTTGTCATCTCATCGTGTTTACATGTACAATGCAGTTCATAGCATGATGGCCACAGTTAAGCACTGGATTACTAGACGTAAGTATT